TCATATGTCTCATGCCTTCATATGTGATGCTCTTTTCAGATGTCTTTATGAAGAGAACAAAACTTGTGTTTGGAATCTGGCTTGACAGAAGGGTTTTGGGTGGGGCAGTGGTACTCCTGGGGGTGGTGGGCTGCTGCTAGCTACTGCTCACACACAGTATTGGCTTTGAACACAGCTCTGCTTCTGTGTATGTGGGCCATATGTTCTTATAGAGTGTAATAGATTGTTGATTACAGCCATTTTATAATTTTCAAATTGATAAGCTCACATTTTGTACCAAGATATTTAGAGCAAAGAGTGGAAAATTGCAGCCTTGACATGAGCAATTGTCGTGTGTGAACAAACATCACTTGAAAAACTAGAAAGTCAGACAAGATGATACTGTGAGATAAATAAGGGGAATAGTTCCTTTGTTAGTTATTGTTGGTCTTCAAAAACAATGACAGCAGGTTATCAAAGACATCCCTCAGTTGAAGGAGAAACAGAGAAGAAATGATTATTTCTTCCTTTTGAGGCTTGCTGTACCTTTATGCTTAGGGGTTTGAGGGAGGTGGGAAAAAACCTGTTTCCTCTATTCAGCCAGCCTCCAAGAACTTTTTCTATTAATCTTAATTTTTGTATTGTCCATGTATAATTCTGTGGGGTTTTTCCACAAGAGTAACCTGGAGCAGGTAGATCTCTGCAACTGCCATCGTGTGCTCTCTTCCATAGTTGCTTCCCAATGAGGGGCATTGCTTCCCCCAGCAGGAGACTTTTAGGGCTGCCCAGAGAAGCAGAGGGAGATACAGGAGGGTAGGAGGGTTCATCTGTCTAAACTATTCTTTTTTTAAACACTGAAACATACTGATTAACAGAGTGCAAAATACTGCCCCAAACTATTAATATTTGGTGTCCATTCCATTCTGTATTTATGATGCAACACGTTAGAGAGTCTTGCTTCATGTACAGGCTCTGGTTTCAAAGCATTGTGTTTGCAAGTCCACTCAAATGGAAATACTTGTTAAATATTTACTACTGTAGTGGCTTATCCTTGGATACCATGATGTTTTTGTGCTGCTTTTCCCAAATACTGGGAAAAGTGCTGTAGAAAAGAAATATGTCACTTTCACAAAATTGTGAAAGTTTACCTTGATAACTATATAGCTAATTTTGAGGAAATAAAATGTTAAATGCAGATATTTTGTATTATGAGAAACCTAATCTTTGCTCTGAGTAGGGTATAAAGACAACACTTAAATGCTGACATCTGTCTTCTAGAAAATTATCCATGGCTGCAAAAGCATTTATGCTTCAGCTCAACTTTGCAAAAAGGACTGTCTTATTTATGTATGTTTTATTATTGCTCTGAGGTCGTTTCCAGTGAGTCACTGACATGAGAGTGATCCAGTTTGATGGAGCTTCTCCTTAATGTAAACAAATTAATTATCAGAATGAAGTATGCAAATATTACCTAATTGGTGCCACTTGGCAAAATTTTTGTTATGCCAATCATGCTGGAGACAACATGACAATCCTTGCTTCTTCTGAGGAGTCCCCTTGGAAATGGTAATAGGATGCTTGCTTTGATTGGAGTAGGCAGAAAAGATGAGCCAAAGAGCTTCAGACATATTTACATTGCAACTTTCTGTTGTGGCTTTAAAACACCAGAAAATTGATTCTCCAAATTCTAGTTCAGAGACAGCTTCAGAATATAAACCAACATCTAATTTTATGCCCTCAGGGCATAATTATCCTATTCTCTTTGTCATTAGGGATGAAACTCATTGTCATCTCGGATGTTTTGCATTTTAAAAATTTGAAAGACAGTATTTGTTTCTTTCTCTGCTTGTCCTGTCCATTCAATATACCTTTCTGAAACTGCCGTATGCTTCTATTAGTTTCTGCTTTTTTATTTCTTTTCAAGCAGAAGGTTCAAAGAACCATGTTCATGTTCATTAGGAAATGAGTTATTCACTACAAGAAGCTGCAGAAGGGTGAATCCTGAGCAATGGGGGAAGCAGTAGTTAAGCTGTTTATTTATTTTTTTTCCTACAGTGTTTATGAAACTGAGTTATCTGTGTATACCTTTGAAAGTAGGACTATGATTAAATATTTACAGGTATGGCATGAGGAGTAGCTAATGAATGTCTCCAGCATTTTCAGCAAACAGTAGCAGTGGTATGTAATGCATATGAAACAAAAATTTTGTTGAGAAATCTTACTAGTGTAGTAAAGCGCTTAATGCTCCGATTTGTATTAATGTATAACAACAATGTCCTCAGTTAAGGTATTTCCTTCTCTTTAAATTGCCCCAAATACCACAGTATTTTAGGTCAGAGAAAATCCAATCAAAAGCTTAGTTTGCTCTATGTTTTTTTTTAAATATGTAAAAATTCTGAAATTATATGTGTCTGCTGTTTGCATTCATATAAAAGGGAATGGCTGTATGATTTGCATGCTGGCAGGATTGTCAGTTCGTGTGTTAGAAACTGCAGGCCTGCTTCTGCATCTTCAGCGTAGGAGATGGAGCCTGGTTTGTGTAGAGAGTAGTCGGTGGTGGGATAGAGTGAAGTGCAGCAGAGCTTGAACCTGCTCCTCTTATCTGAGGAGAGCTTGTGCTCCCCCTCAAGCCCTTCATACTTTACACACAATATGGGTGGGAGCTATTACCATGAGCACTGGCCAGTAATACCGTTTGGTGCATTATTTTCTGCTTTACTGTAGCAGACATATAGCTGTGTGATGCACCTCATGAGCACGAGAGAGAAGTCCATTGCACAAGGTAATAATGTACTTTCCAAAGCTGAAAATTTGCCCAGTCTTACATCGGTTCTCTCTAGACAGTGGTCAAGCAGTTGATGTCCTGCACCTGCTGCTTGTGTTGCTACTTCAGATCATTTGACTGCTCCCATATCTGCTTCTTTGTTGTATTTTTCTTGTTATGGATTGGCCTGAAGTCTCCCTGGGGTCTGCTGAGGACTAGGGAAACTGCTTCTGCTGCACTAAGTTAAGCAACAGAGGCAGTGTAAAAGGTTGTATTAAAAGCCAAGTGTGTCTGCTTATTCTGGTTTTCAGCTTTCATTTAGAAGACAGTTTAAAAGCCAGGAAGTTTTACATTTTCTCCTTTTTAAAAAGCTTTGTAATTTTTAATTGAACGTAATAATTTAACTTCATGGAGCAGTGATGGCTGTAAGACTTCTGTCTCAACTGTTACTGACACCTACAAATACCTTTCTCACATCTTCAGGGAGAGAGTCCTCAACAGGGGCAACAATCTAACATTTCCTTCTCTGAAGAGAGAGTCCTGCCTCTGCTGTAGGCTACTTCTTTGGTTTTCATGTTTTGTGACAGTAATGTTTTTGCTGCTTGGTGGCAGAGCGCAGTAAAAATGCAAGTTGAAGCCTTCAAAACATACAGTGATCCCTTCCTAAAGTCATAGGTGAAGTTTCTTTGGCTCTTTAAATTTTGGTAATATGCCTGTAATACTCCTCTAAGGTCTTTACTATTTGAAAGTTGAAAGCTGTGTGATAAAACTAGACTTGAAATGAAACACAACCTCCTTATAGAAGTTTTACTAAAAATAGTTCTGGTGGTGCCCTGGGGGTGTTCATCAGCTAGCGACACGACTGCATTTTCACAGCGGGCAAGCAGGGCTGGTGAGGTCAAGGAGGATGAGTCTGTATTCCTGTGGGGAGCTTGGCGGGAGCATCCAGGGATTTTTGAGCTTTTACAGATAAAATGAGCGTGGGTTTGTGAGAATGTTGTTTTAAAATACCTGGAAAGCTGGAACAAGCCCAAAAGAATTCCAGTTCCGTCTTTCAGTGTGTGTGTGTGTGTTTTAGGATCCCCAGGCATCAGGTCTAGTTGACCTCTACTTATAACTTTCATGTGTTTCAAAACTAGAAAATCCCAACTTAATACTGATTAATCTCTGCATTCTTTTTTGAAGCAGAATTGGTAAGTTACAATCCTGGTTTTTGCTTTACTTCTTCTTTTCTTCTTTTGAAAACATTGCCCTGGTTTACTCTTTGCAGAATGACTCACTGAAATGTCTGCATCACCAGAAACTAATCCCTGCTCTGCATGCTATCCCTTTTCCAGATGATGAACCTGTAAAATCTGTTTTACAGGAAGACTTTCTGACTTCCTTATGCTCTTAAGTGCAAAATGGTATCTCTTGGGAGCCTGTATGCAAGTGACCATGTTCAGCACATAGTTTGACTGAGGTGACTGCTTGATCCCTGACTTGTGCCAGCGGACAGGAGAAGTCGTGCTGGACTAGGAACCTGAGGACAATGAAAAGCCCCTGACAGATGTCAGCGTGTTAGCAGTCAAGCAGTCACTGATTTTGTTTTTGTGCGGGAGGGAAACTTCATCAGAAACACGGATGAAATTCCAGCCTTATCTTAGGGAATGCATGTGGGTTTCAGGCATGCAGCAAGAGAAAAAAGCCAGCGCCTTTTCAGGCTTTTTGCTTCTCTCACCCTGTGCAAAGGATATTCTGCCGCACCTTAATTTTAAAGTTTTTTGAACTCTGCTGGGATTTGAAATGAGTATTGTCACAGTGTGCTTGTGATGTCCCTTCCTTTGTTTGCCTATTGCCATATACCCTGGCCAGCTCTGTAGGAGACCTGTCTGGAGTGCCTTTTAATGTTTAGATCTAGCAGTGATTAGAATACACTAATGCCCAGTGGGTATATGTGTCATTTTTTAACAGCTGCCGAGCTTTCTCCCTGCTGCTCCAATTAATGCATTCGGCGCACACTTGCCAGTGAGTGGGCTGTGTGTATGGATTGAACCACTTTGCTCTTTATTCATCCAGTGTATGAGATGCCAGAAATGGATTGGCGTGTTTCCTGTTCTTACAACAAATGAAATCAAACGTGCTCCTGAGCCTTTGCCCGGGTAGATAGAAGGGCAGCATTTAACTGGCAAATGGAAACCTGTTTTGCTGTGAGATATGGTTCAGTCCATTGACTAACATCTATCCCCGCCTCCCAGCCCCTCTTCAAATGATGGAGACACAGGATAGGGAGCTCTCAGTGCTAGGCTTCCCCTTGCTGACAAGCAGGTCTCTTCAACTTTGCCCTCTGCTGCTTAATAATAGCTTGAGATCCTGAAATTCTCCTTTTGCTTCAATGCTTTCCTCCTGTATTTATTTTCAGGTTGAAATATTCCAGTCAGTAGATTTGATAAAGTGTGTCTGTGTGTGTCCCTTTTTTTTAACAAAAAGGGGAAAACAATATGCTTCCTAGTCAGAGCTGAGATAAGGGAGGGGTTGTTTAATGGTAGCGGAGCGGCTGGTGGGAGCCGCGGCTCTGCTCCGGTGCCTGCGGTTGATTCATGCTGGGACAGCTCTTTGTGAAGCTGAGGGCGAAGGGGGCTGCCGGCTGGGGCTGTGAGTGAGGAGGAGATGGAACGCTTCTTGGGCTTTGTCAAGCAGATACGAAGATCGAGGAGAAGAAAAGGCAAAAAGTACCGGCCAGAGGAGGATTACCATGAGGGCTATGAGGATGTCTACTATTATGCCTCAGAACATTTTCGAAGTAAGTATTTTGCATGACCTCATTTTCCTTTGGCTGTGATAAATATTATGTTCTGAAGATGTTTAAACTCCAGAAATGCAAGCAATATTCCTCCCTTGCTAGAACCTGAGCCTCGTGTATGTATTAAAGTCAGTTCCTGTGAGAGCTCTTGTTGGCTCTGCTGCCGATGAACAATACAAAGCATCTGAAGTGGCACAGAAGCTCTCAAAGTAAAGAGGGTCTGTCTGCAGACTCTGGTGAGATTTCAGATGCAGTTAATCCAGTCTGACTGCTGGAAACCTTTTGTTAAAACACTGTTGAGAAGCGAGTAGGGTGGCAATAGCCCTTGTAGAGTGTCTTTAGAAGGCTGTGTGGATATTTTTAAAGCACTACAGAGGCAGTGAGCACTCGTTTGTAAGCTGAAGTTGATGAATAATGTTTGCTATTGAGGGAGAGTCAGTTTACTAAGCCTCCGCTGTGACCTGGTCTTTTCAGTAGTGAGTAAATTGAGTGGGCTGGTTCCTCACTGCAGGTCCAGGACCACTGCTGGAGAATTAAGTGGGGATTTTTTTTTGCTGGCACTCACGTGATGACACTCAGCAGCTCTGCCAAAACCAAAATAAACCACCTGCTTAGAAATCCTGTGCAAAGTGTATGCTGGACCCTGCAGCTTCTTAGAGCTTGTCCGCTGTGCCTGTCAGGTATCAGAGCTGCCAGTCTGCCGTGGTCTTCTGGAGAAGAGGATGTGCCCAGAGGTGCCCACAGGGAGAGTGGGAAGGAGGGAGCCACACACAGCCTCTGCCTGGGGTCTTGTGTGGCACTGTCAGGGCAATGTGGTGGCAGTATGAGCATAATTCAGCCATGAGCAGAAATTGCCTGTTTCTGCTGTTTTGGCCACTGGTTTGGGACCTTTGCAGTGAAGCTGTGCCTTGTTGGGCTGCTGAAGTTAGATGTACTTTTTTGTTGTTCTGTTCCATGTGAGTGACTGTCAGCATCTTTTTTCCTTCATTTCCACATTGCTGAAATAAATCATAAGAACCGTACATTTGTTTTAAGATAGAATGATAAATGTGGTTGTGCCTTACAGCACCAGAGAACTGCTATCTTGTGGAAAACTAGGAAACAAGAGTTGTTCTTATTGGCTTTCTCCCGGTGCACCATGCTTGCCTATCTCCTAAAGACAATCAGTGTAGGGTGCTTGATTGTTTACTGGGCTTCTACTTGATACAAATTTGTTTGCTTTCAATTTTTAAGAAAACTCATCGTGCTGATAATTTTAAACAGTACAACCTACCTATGTTGTTAAGAGGGAGTTCTTGCAAGGAGAAGACCTATTTGGGAGGCAATGCAGTAATAATGGGTAATGTTGTGGCATGAAGTCTGCTACACAAAATCTACTACACAAGAACTAACAATTTTAAATCTGTTTAGCACTGAGAATTTTGAAGGTGATATATGTTAGGGAAAGTACATAACTTCTCCTTGCTTTAATATGTAAATCAAAAGAACGTGTCAAAGCCGTATGTCAAAATATTTCCCTAGCGGATTGTTGTTGTTGAAGGTCCTTTAAAGAGGAAAGCAAAGCCCCTCCAAAAACTGTCAAATGTAATAAGGGTTTCTTGACTGATGATTAATGAATTATTAACTCTTAACTTAATGTATGGCACTAAGATTGAGCCAAATATCTAATAGGTTTTTCCTTTTACTCTACTTAGATAACAGAAGAATAGTACATACTTCAGCTTGTGGAGGTCATAAGTATTTCAGACTGGATGAAATGTGTGTCCCATTTTGAAGTGATGTTTAGAGCAGTGTTCAAGTACTCAGATTGAATTGAGCTCAAAATAGCACACAGCCCTATAGAGCTGGATGCACAAGGAGTTGGCTACTTCTCACAGTTACTTAAACCAAACAGTCACAGGAGATTTGAGCCATGCAGTCTTTATAGAGGTACCATCTCAAGCACAATTCCTCAAGTGCTTTTGTCTGGTCTTTCCATGTGCTTTATGTGTCAGTGTTTTGGTTGGATAGGTGTGGTAGTTACTTTAATGTGCAAAATCTGAAAAGAGGCTACTGGTGCTACTACAAAAGCACTTGTCCAATTAAATTTCATGTGTTTGGGACAATGAAATGTTTTATATTTAATTTAATTATGGTGTTTATTATAAATTACACTGTTTACAGTACAAATTTAGAGTAATTGCAGAGCTTTTAATAGCCATTCCTTCTGCAGTCATTTACTTAAAAGAAATGTGTGCTTGCAGGAAAGATTGTATTTATTGTTACGATTTTTAGAATATCGGAGCTAATGAACTCAAATGCCTATTGTTCTTTCAACTGAGATGAAGCTTTTTTAGATTTACTTTCTCTGTGTTGTTAGGCATCCCTTCTCTATTATCATTTATGAGTTATATATCCAATTAGCCAGTACATTTGAAGATGGTCTGAGACAATCACTTTATGAGCTTGTTACTCTCTCTCTGCTTCCCCCATTTGTAATATGGCTTAGAGTGTTGCACAGGGAGGCAGAATTAATGGAAAAATGCAGAAACTGCATTAGAATAACCGCAGGATCAAACAAAGACAACAAAGTTAAAAACAGAATAGACCTTTGGGAATCACAGGAAAAAGGTGACTTTAGTTTGTCCTCAGCCCAGCTGTGCTCAGATGCTGGGATATTGTTGCTGCCACTGTTTGGTATACCATCTTTACTCCTCCAAAGCTTTGGCATGGAAGACCATGTTAACTGTGATACTGGGACGCAGCAGGATGAAGGGAATGTGCAATGCTGCCTAAAGTTCCCTGAGTAAAAAAAAGACACCCCAGCTCCTGAGGCAGATGTGTTTTGTCTTGAACTTTTCATCCACTTGTTGTCAGTTAATGGATAACCTTATTTGACATGCAGCACCAGCTCTCCTATCTTTCTGAAGTGTCTGTGCTATGTAATGCTAGAAAAACCAAAGTAACAATTTTGGTATGCAAGCACATATTGACATTAGTAGTGCAGGCATCATACTCATTTCAGTGAGGCTTTGCAGTGTGAACATAATGGGTGATGAAATTGCTACCCAACTCAGACAAGTTGGTGCTTATTTTATAAAACACTTTAAAAAGCATCATACTTATCTTGAGCAGCATTATACCACTGCCATTCAACATGTTCCTTATAACAAGGCTTTGTGTGAAAAAGGCCCTTTTTATATTATTGCAGAGACTGTTTGCAAACCATCAGGAATGCTGCTTAGCAGAACTTGCTGGAATGCTCCCAGAAATTAAATAAATCCAATTGCTGAAGTCAGGTTGTTGTGCCAAGACCTTTGAGTTTCAGCCTAATCTTGAGTGGGAGTGTGGTTTTGGGACCCAGCACAACTTGGTCACCTCTGACCAAAATAAACACTTCTTCCCACACCCTAAAATAATTTCAGCACTAAGTCTATTTGTCATAATACTTGGAAGGATTTGGGTTTCTTTCAACTCATTTTGGAACTTCACAGGTTTTATGAAACACGCAGGTATAGAGGGTAAATGCATCTTGTTAAATTTTGCCTTATTATGGTACTTCTGGTGTCTGTCATCCATCTCCTGAAAGATCCTTTTTTTCTCTTTAGTGATCTTTCTTCTGATGATGATGTTCTTCTCAATGTGGTTCACAGCATAGTCTGTTGGCATAAAGATTTTACTTTTTGTGTAGCTACAATGACAATATTAGGTAATGATCACAAAAAGCAATGTTCTGAAGAATTCTGCTAGTAAGTACCCACTAACCTGAAAGGTCCTATGATTTTAGCCTTGACCTTAAAATGTTCCATTTAGTCACCAGGGTCCAAGGAATAACTTCTATCCTTTGTCAAGGCCTAGTATATATTGTGTAGCAAGAGTGTTGATATGTTAGAGAAAGTAATCTGCCATAATCTATGTCTGCCATGAAGTCATATGTCATTTCCTTCTCTGATGCCATCTATTAATTATTTCAGAATCATCTGGTTCCTCAGTTTAGGACCATCAACTTCTTCAAATTCGTTCTCTAAATACATGTGATGGTCTTTCCACTGATTTGCCCTTCTCCCTCCCTTCATCATCACTGGAAAGTGAAGGGAAGGTATTTGACTCCTAGCCTAGCAAATAACGTAAAAAAGGAAAAACTGAAGGTTTTGTATGACTCAGAATTGAAAATGTCCTCTTTGTTGACTGAAACCTGGAATTATTAAAATTAAAATTGTATATATGATATGCTTCTCGGGATGGTGTCAGCAGAAAAACTCCACTTGGGCGTTATTCTCCAACACAGCTCAATGTTATGGTCCAGAAACTCCCACACCATAGCTGCCAAAATGTTAGGAATAAATGTCTTTGCATTTCATACTGCAGGTGGTTTTGAAGCTGTATTAAATACATAGGGCAAAACACCAAGGGGAGTGATATGCCAATGATTTCTTAATGATGTGGTCAGTAGCAACATCACTCTTGTCAAGGTTTTCTCCATTTTGTAAATTGGTAAAAATAGTTCTTGTTTGCAGCAATCTCACAGATTTCATTGGGGTTGCAGAAGAGTTAATGATTTTGAGTCACGTGGTGACAAGGTAATTGAGTATCTCTTGCTCAAGCTGTAGAGATGCTAGTTGATCCTGAGGATGAGGAATGCAGGACAACTGTTTTTTATTTTACAATGATTGTGTGTTGCTAGTTTGCTGTTAACTGGATGTGCATGTGTGGGGGGATTGTTCTTCACCTACCACAGATCTTGTCATGTCAGTACAGTAAAATCTCAGCTTTCATAGAAACTAAAGTATTTGTTGAAGCCTACAAGAAAAAAAGGCCTGGTAACCCGAGTAGAGGATATTGCAGGCTTTGAAAACACAATAAAAATAATATTTAAAAGAAATAACTAAAATTTATTTAAACTTCTATTTCCTTCATCTTAATAACTGTTATATGGTTGTTGGAATCTGGAGATTTTCATTAACCGACTTCAGGTCTTGAGTATTTCTGTTTTACAGAAGTATTTCTGTTTTCCACTCTTT